CAATTGACTAACAACAATACCCTTCTAGTCCTCTCATTTTAATAAAATACATGCATAAGGAAGTACACGAGCACTAGTTAAAAAAAAATGTATGGAAAATTAACATATTTTTCGCCTGCGCGGTACTACCGGTAATACTAAATAGCTGCGCTATACATTATTAAGTAGTTTTTAGTTAATAACTTGGGCTAATTGTTAATAAGACCGGGCTAATTTAATTCTTCGTTTGATATAACCCCCTCTCTACTTTTCAAAATTTTATGAAAAAATACACATCACATTAACCAATCAAATAGCAGTATTAGCTTTTATATATTTCATATTTTTTACAGCCAATAGAATTGCCGTATTTTTTTTTTAATTTGTGTATTTTTTTTCCTCTCCCCACTCCTATGAACTATTTAATGTTATGTTAAACGAAGAATCAATTTGGAGTGGCCTAATTATTATTTATTATTAATAATGCAGAAGGTTCATCACTAGCTCTGAGCATGCGCTAATGGAGTTCTGCGCTAATTAATCAAATCTATGTCGGGTGTCATACGTAGTAAAAATTAATAATAGATCATATGCATAGATCGGCAAAATCGATAGATTACTCGCAAAATATTATTAGTATTTAAAAAATTGATTCACCTCATGCACCAATAATTTCTTCATGACAATTTTGTGGTAAATAATTATTATAGTATTGTAAAACGAAGTTACGGTTTTTATATTTTAATTAGTTAAAGATTTTTAAATTTTACATATAAACTTTTAAACAAAAGGTGAATTTTATTACGAATTAACCTTAGTAAATAAATTTAAAACCGTAACTTCTTTTACAATATAATTATCATTTGCCCAAAAAATTGTCAGAAAAAAATTATTAGTATGCGAGGTGAATCGATTTTTTTAATACTAATGGCCCAATTCAGCGGTTCAGACTCTTTTCATTGGTATATAATATATTTATCCTAATACAACTTTTTTGGGTGTAGTAAAAAAAAATTGAATTGAAATATAATACGTATACCGCACTATTGAAAAAAATTCGATCTATGCATAAATCTGTATTATTAATTTTGATTACGTATAACACCCGAAATTGGTTTATGCAGAACCCAATGCAATGCGTTAAGGATAGAAATACCCTTATTATCGTTATACAATCGTTTAATTTTTGTGGCTTAAATTCCTAGAGAAGGTTAACCGATTCCCTTAAAAAGCAAGAAATGTAGTACCAAGTTTCTTAGCACTAACCAAGCTTTTATACAATCGTTTTATTTTTGTGAAACCTATTTCTAAAGAAGATTAGCCGATTCCCTTAAAAATTTCTAGAGAAGGTTAGCTGATCCATAAAAGCAATTTTAATGTAGTACCAAGCGCTAACGCTAACAATTAAGTATTTCTTGGAATATGTTAAATAAATTACACATAAAAACCACTACACTTATTGATTAGAGTCATTTATTTTTGCAAGAAAAGACCAAAATCTGCCTGCTTTACAAATCTATTTGTGCGAGATTTCTTGCTTCTTAACTATTTACACACCATTCTGGCCTTCTATTTAAACTTAATACCCTGATTTACTATAATAATCAGATACAATGGCTTCATTACATAAAAACACCTGGTTTTACTCCTTTATGCTAGGAATTATTTGGTTCACGTCAGGATATTATGTTAGTACCTTCCATAATAATATTGAGCTTGATTCTTCACAATTGCACTACGAAAGTTACTTAATTAAAGGTATTAGAATTCAATTTTATAAATTGTAAATGTGAAAGTTCTACTCTGAAATCTCCAACGTTCAAAACCCATCAGATAGGTAATAATCCTGACATATTTAAAATCGCTGATAATAAAAAATTATTACCGTATTGTCGCGAAATAACGCGTAGAGTTGAAATTAAGAATTTCGGCCTAAATTAAGCTTAATTCGGGCCATTATTCTAAATATTCGCCCATGCCTGTTATTTCGCGACGATACGGCAACAATCAACGGGAAACTAGACATCAGGCTTATCTATAAAAAAGTTTGTGCAGTTATTGTAGGAATTGTCGAAAAAAAAATGTTCGGAACGGAGTCGATTTTCCGAATGCCAGTAAGATTTGTACAATTTTTATACCGTTATGTAAAAAAAGAAATTAGGTTGACAACATTAGGCATAAGCATTGTACATAATCAGCATTCCGATCATTTTTTAGAATGACTAGAAAATTTTTAGAACTTAGCTAACAAAATTTTTTTTGGAAAGCTTTCCAAACTCAATTTTGACTTGCGACATATATGGTACATAATTGAATTTACATATGTATCATATATGTCTCTAATAATGCTAAGTCTGGTAAATTATCAATAATGAACTTGAAAGTCTAAAGTCTGATTTTCCCTTAGATACGTTCAGAACTTTCTAATACGCTCTATATCGACAAACTTTTAATAATATGCGTTTAAAAATTAATAAAAAAAGATGTATTTATTAGGTCAAATTTATTTGGGCCAGCACTTACGAGTGCATGTGCATTTAGAGAGCAATATTGGGATTATAATTAGAGACGCATCTCACGCGAAAAACCTAGTGTGAATTTCAGATAACTCACGTGATTCGTTATTTAATGTTACGAGTCAATAACTTAACCAGTTTTAAATTTAACGTACCATATCCGGACTACAGATTATGTATCGTTTCACCAACAATCAATTCACCGACAAGTTTATTTCACCGACAGTACAATTCACCGATAGTACATTTCACCGATAGACAAGATTATTTCACCGACAGTACGACTCATTAGGGTGCAGACAAATCAAACATTAGTTAGGGTAATATATGAAGATCATGAAGATCATCAATTTCGGATTTATTATTGACATTATCGTTAATTAATTTCGGATTTATTAATGGTTAAAGTTTGACATTATCGTTAATTAATTCTTTCGACGATTTATGCTAGATGATTATAAAAATAATTATCAACCTAAATTTACATTTTTTAGCATAAGTATCTAACAAAAGTGCATATAAATTTTTTTAACTTGAAGCTCTCAACTAGCCCTACATGGTAATAAAGCTACTTTATCAAAGTCGTTAAATTATTATATATGTATTAAAGATTAATTATTAACCTAATTTTTTTTAATAAAATTATCCAAAAAATAGCCATATTACCATGTAGGGCTAGTTGAGAGCTTCAAGTTAAAAAAAATTATATGCACTTCTGTTAGATATTTGTGCTAAAAAATGTAAATTTAATTTAATATTTAAATATACGGCCTATAAAAAATCCGAAATTAATGAGCTTCATATATTACCCTAACTATATAACGTTTGATTTATCGCGATTTGCGACTTTTGATTAATTTGTAGATCGCTGCATGCTCGATTGTCCGATCACAATTGATTTACGTAATTTTGCGTTTTCTCAGTAACCATCTGATCAAATTCAATGAAATTTTTTTTATTTGAATTTTATGAATCCATAGAATTCATATAAAAAAAAAAAAACTCAACGAATCTGATCAGGTGGTTGCTGAGATATCTTCGTTCAGAGTTTATTAAGATATCAAAACGTCAATCAGAAGTAGAAACTGCGCCAAATTTTGGCCAAACCTTTGAACGAAGATATTTTAGCAACAACCTGATCGAATTCGTTGAATTTTTTTTTATATGGATTCTATAGATTCATAAAATTCAAATAAAAAAATTTTCATTGAATTTGATCAGATAGTTACTGAGAAATGGCAAAATTACATACAATCGATTGCGATCGGACAATCAAGCATGCAACAATATACAAATTTATCAAAAGTCGCATCAATTTGCAATCCGCGATAATTAGTTTAGACCGCACCCTAACGACTCATAGACAATACGATTTACTGACAAGTAATAGATGCTTATTTCAGGGTATGTAGTAAAGTAGTACGATACAGGGACATACGTGTAGAAATCATGATAGTGCGTACTGGTTGTAAAAGAAAAAATTCGTCAAATCCAAGTTTCTTTAACTACTAATTCCATCATGAAGAAGAACAATACTAGATCTCACCCTAACCTTAACCATAAAAATGGTTACTTATTAAAATTGAACTGTCGGTAAAATAAACGCGTCAGCGAATCGTACTGTCGGTGAAATGAGTTTGTTGATGAAATAAACTTGTCGGTGAAACGTACTGTCATTGAAACGTACTGTTGGTGAAATAAACTTGTCGGTGAATCGTACTATCGATGAATTGAATGAACTGTATTGGACTCATGTGGGGCCCAGAAGCTGACACATTAAATTTAAGATCAGATAATGGGATATTTCCCGTTATTTTATGTATATGGGTAATTATTTTCGAGCATTAATTTAATTAATAATAAACATTTAACTCGGACTATAATCATAATAATAATATTATTATTATTATTAACATTAATAATAATGATTACTTATGATTCACGTTCAGAATAATTACCCAGCGTTTATTACTAACAATGTAACGCGCGAAAGAATATCTTTGTTAAAGCAAAAACTTTATATTTGCAATCATTGATCGCTAAAAGTTTCTTAATCGCGTATAATTACGATAATTCGTTACCGCGTGAAAATACATTGCTAATTACGACCTGTCTGGATTTCAGAGTTGAACAAAAGTGATTCGTGATATTGTAAAATTAACATTCACCAACATTCATTATTAACAGATATAGGTAACTGTAGCTGTAACTGTAACTGTAACTGTAACTATACAGCACCAAAACGAACTCAAAAAGTGCCAAAAATATTGCATTATGTATATCTTAATGAAGATCCAGAATACTTGCCCTTTAACTTTATCTATTGGCTCGCTTTTACTTCAGCGATTGAGACTATTAAGCCAGAAAAAATATATTTCCATTGTATTCACGAACCAAAAAGCTACTGGTATCAGCTCATAAAGCCTAAAGTAAGTATTATGAAAACACGAATAGTAACAGAGATTTTCGGAAACCCAGTAGATATTATTCAACACAAGTCAGATATTATACGGATGGAAGTGTTACGGGACTTTGGTGGCATTTATCTCGACCTTGATGTAATTGTCCTCCAGTCATTCGACGATCTTCTCTATTATGATTTTATTATGGGCCTTGAGGAAACTGATCAAACAACTCTTTGTAATGCGGCAATCGTCAGCAGGCCATTTGCTCCTTTCCTAACCAGATGGATGCTAGGGTACAAGGATTTTGACGATAGTGACTGGTCCCTCCATTCAATTCGGTTGCCTTACAATATGTCAAAAGTATATAGCAATGATATCCATATTTTAAACGCAACTGCATTTTTTTGGCCGACTTGGATGGATGATCACCTGGATTTGGTGTACGCATCAAATAATTATAACTTTTCTAACCAGTACATCTATCATATGTGGTCTGCAATAAGCTATGATAGATATTTACAATATATGTCCCCGAAATCGATAAAAAACGAAGAAACGAGCTTTAATAGAGCTGTCAGAAAATTTTTAAATTATTTGCCTAAAGATTTTAATGAAGAGAACTTTGACTTTGATGGATATATAATTGAATGAGAAATAAATAGAAGTAATAAGAGAAACTAAATTTTAATGAGGAAAATTGAGATGTTGAGAAAATATTAGTAACTATTATTATATAAATTTAAATACTAAAACTTTTATAATTAATTAAATAAAAACATTAAATATTTATAGATTTGAATATAGGTAATAAAATTAAGGGCAAGCCTTGGCCACGGGTAGATTCGCCTGTAATCTTAGTTTTTAGTCAATAAAAAACTAAGAATCTTGCTTGTTAAAAAAAAATAAAATAAATAAAATAAAATCAAGAGCGCGAAAATTTCCACACCATCCCATTTTTGATATTTCTCGATCGGCAAAAGTATGGCCCCGTTATCTCGGAATTAATTTTTTAGTTAAATAATTTTTTTTAAAAAAATAAGTGGCAGATAGGGTCGTGTTGAATGCATCTATTTGCGCATCACATGTGATTTAATAATTTTTTAATTAAATTTAGGGTTAGGGCCGTATAGGTTAGAATTGGGTTAGGATAGAAGAGGTTGGATATGCAAAATCTTCCTCCCAACACTTTTTATTATTATTGTATTTCTTATATTTTTTTTTCCTTTTTTTTTCGCTTTGTTTGTTCATCGAGATGATCAAAACTTGGTAAATCATCGAAAACATTATGCACTCGGGTTGTGTTACGAACATTACAATAAGTTTCAGTAATTGAATTTTATGTAAATTTCACACGTATATATGTACGTACGTACGTATACCAGCTACTTATGACATCACCTAGTTACGTACTATATAAAAAATCGGTTTATAAAATAGTATGTAATTGAGCCGTAACTAATGACGTAATTAAATCTGCATATATAATACCAGCACTACGAAAACTAGCCAAAATTATTAAATTCACAAAGATGTTTATTGTGAAATTTTTATTGTACATACTCATTATTATCAACATATGAAAAAACCTGTTTAAAGTTAATAAAATTGTTTTCAAGTATTTCATTTTTACCATTTTTTGATTTGTTTGTTTTTAATTTAAATTAAAAGGTTTTCAATTTTTATATTTTCTTTTTTGCAAATTCTTAGATTTTTTAATTAATAAAGAATTCTTGTGTTTTAATATATCTATAAAACAAAGTTTTTTTTGCCTTTTGGATAAGTATTTAGTTATGCAATTTTGAATAATTCAATCAAAATATAAAATTACCGGACATTACGAGTGTGTCCGTTCTTAATTATCTGATTGTATAAAAAAGTATCTTAGCTAATAATGGAATATATCGTCTGCAATATCATATGTTGATTTTATAAAAAAAAGCAGTCTGTTTTGTCTCATGACTTGGTAATTAATTTCGCATGGATGGATTTATACATCGGTAGTATTTCATTTATGCAATACCAGATACGTGCGTACTTGCTCATTATTATGTTGATCACGAATAATTACCCAATTGATGAATCATAGTTTCGCTCCAAACCGGTATATACAGCATAAATGTGAAAAACCTGAAAGTTCCCTAAAAATTGAATGATCAGCAATTTAATAGTTTTAACAATATACCTTAATTTCGATCATCAATTTTTAAGGGAACTTTCAGGTTTTCATTCTCACGTACTGGCTCAACGATACTTTAACTTGTCTGGATAATTTACAGCTGTTATCATTATTCCTGGGACACCTTATGAAAAATTAACCGAATGATTATTCAGCCGATTCGATAAGT